CGGCCACGGGCAGCTGTGACGGCGGGCGCCGCGCGGACACCGAGGCCGCGGGCCGCGTCCTCGCCCGGTAAGGGGCCTGCACCCCGTCCCCGGCGCGGGGATGGGAGCAGGGACGCGGGCGCAGCGGCTGGGCTTGGCACGTGGAGCAAAGCGGGGCCCAGCCGTGACCCCGTCCCGTCCCTGCAGGTTCCTGGCCAACACGTCCTTCCACGGGCGCACAGGGCCTGTGGCCATGCACGACGCGGGGCTGGTGCACACGGAGCGGCGCTTCCGTGTGTGGAGCCTCCTGCGGGACCCGCACGGGGCGCCCAGCTGGGTCACCGTGGGCACGTGGAGCCGCGGGAAGCTGGAGCTGGAGGAGGGCGCCTGGCGGAGCCCGCGGCAGCGCCCGGGCCCCGGTGCCGGCGGCGCCCGCATGCGCCTGCGCGTCGTCACGCTGGTCGAGCACCCCTTCGTCTTCACCAGGGAGGTGGACGAGGACGGCAGCTGCCCGGCGGGGCAGCTCTGCCTGGACCCCAGCACCAACGACTCGGCCGTGCTGGACGCCCTCTTCGAGGCGCTCAGCAACGGCTCCGTGCCGCGCGAGTACAAGAAGTGCTGCTACGGCTACTGCATTGACCTGCTGGAGAAGCTGGCCGAGGATCTGCCCTTCGACTTCGAGCTCTACATCGTGGGCGACGGGAAATACGGGGCCTGGAAGAACGGCCGCTGGACCGGGCTGGTGGGGGACCTGCTCAGCGGCACGGCCCACATGGCCGTCACCTCCTTCAGCATCAACTCGGCACGGAGCAAAGTCATCGACTTCACCAGCCCTTTCTTCTCCACCAGCCTGGGCATCCTGGTGAGGACCAAGGACACGGCCTCACCCATCGGGGCCTTCATGTGGCCCCTGCACTGGACCATGTGGGTGGGCATCTTTGTGGCCCTGCACATGACCGCGCTCTTCCTCACCCTGTACGAGTGGAAGAGCCCCTACGGCATGACACCCCACGGCCGCAACCGCATGAAGATCTTCTCCTACTCCTCGGCCCTCAACCTGTGCTACGCCATCCTCTTCGGGCGCACCGTGTCCAGCAAGACGCCCAAGTGCTGCACCGGCCGCTTCCTCATGAACCTCTGGGCCATCTTCTGCCTCCTGGTGCTCTCCAGCTACACGGCCAACCTGGCCGCCGTCATGGTGGGCGAGAAGACCTTCGAGGAGCTCTCGGGCATCCATGACGCGAAGGTAGCGGCGCGGCAGCGCGAGGGGCCGGCGCCGGCCGGGGCGGCGGGCGCTGACGCTCTGCGCCCCCCCGGCAGCTGCACCACCCGTCGCAGGGATTCCGCTTCGGCACCGTGTGGGAGAGCAGCGCCGAGGAGTACATCCAGAAGAGCTTCCCCGAGATGCACGAGTACATGCGGCGCTACAACGTGCCCACCACCCCCGCCGGCGTCACCATGCTCAAGTGAGCGCCCAGGGGGGCTGGAGCCCTGTCCCGCACCCCGGCACTGGCTGCGGGTGCCGCAGCACTGGGGGCTGCCCCCCCAAAGCTGCTTTGGCTGCAGGACGGAGCCGCCCAAGCTCAACGCCTTCATCATGGACAAGTCGCTGCTCGACTACGAGGTCTCCATCGACTCGGACTGCAAGCTGCTCACCGTGGGCAAGCCCTTCGCCATCGAAGGTGGGCACCGGGGGCGCCGGTCCAGGCCCTGGCTCCGGGGGCGCCAGGGCGGCGGACGCGGCCCCAGCTCTGCCACTCTCTCCCCACGGCCGGGCCAGGCTACGGCATCGGCCTCCCGCAGAACTCGCCGCTCACCTCCAACGTCTCCGAGTTCATCAGCCGCTACAAGTCGTCCGGCTTCATGGACCTGCTGCACGACAAGTGGTACAAGATGGTGCCCTGCGGCAAGAGGGTCTTCGCGGTGACCGAGGTGAGGGCGGGCGGGCAGGGGGCTCCGCGGGGCGCCCCCCTGGTGCTGCGACACCCCCCTGCCCGCAGACTCTGCAGATGGGCATCTACCACTTCTCGGGGCTCTTCGTGCTGCTCTGCATCGGCCTCTGCGGCTCCCTGCTCACGTCGCTGGGCGAGCACGTCTTCTACCGCCTGCTCCTGCCCCGCATCAAGCGCCAGAGGAAGTTCAGCTACTGGCTGCACACGAGCCAGGTGGGCGCCGCGGCCCCGGCCCTCGCGCCGCCCCGGCCGCCCGCTCACCCCTCCCCTGGCCCTGCAGAAAATCCACCGGGCGCTGAACACGGGCACCGAGGAGCAGAAAACCCGGGTGCTTGGCTTGGAGAAGGGGTACGGACAGGGCTGGGCGGCTGCTCCGTGCTCAGCCTCCTCTTCCTCCTCTTCTTCCTTATCCTTTTCCTCCTCCTCCTCATTTTCTTCTTCCTCATTATCCACTCCTCCTCTCCATCCGCCTCTTCCACACCCTATTCTTCCTCCCTCTTCTTCCTCCTCCTCTTCCTCCTTCTCTCTTCTTCCTCCTCCTTCTCTCTGTCCTCCTCTTCTTGACTCTATTCTTTCTCCTTCTTTTCCTCCTCCCCTTCCTCTTTCTGTTTATCCTCCTCTTCCTCATCCTCTTCTTCTTTCTCCTCCTCATCCTCTTCCTCATTCTTTTCTTCCTCCTTCTCCACTTCATTCTTGTTCCCTCTCCTCCTCTTTGTCCTCCCCCTTTGTCCTCTTCCTCCTCCTCCTCTCTCTCCACTTTCTCCTCTTCCTCCTCCTCTCTTTCCTCATTTTCTTCCTCCTCCTCCTCCTCCTCCTCTCCCTCCCCTTCCTCGTGTTGGGACGGCGGCGCTGCGGCCCCATCCGCTGCTCTCTGCCGTGGCCAAGGTGCGAGGCGGAGCAGCGGCGGGCGGCGGGCGCGGGGCGCGCGCGGAGCCGGGAGCGCCCGCGGAGCCGGGAGCGGCGCGTGCACTTCCAGCTGGCCTCGGAGCCGGAGGCGGGCGCGGAGCCGGAGCCGGAGGCGGGCGGCCAGGCCGAGCTGTGCCGGCTGGAGCGGAGGATCCGGGCGCTGCGGGAGCAGCTGCGCGCAGCGCTGCGGCGCAGGACGGAGCTGGCGGCCGAGCTGGACGGCGCCGCGCCGCACAGGTACCGGGACAGGCGCGCGGGGCTCCGGGAATGGAAGGGGGGAGCCCCGCGAATTGCTGCTTTTCTGCCGCTTTTGGTTGGTTTTAATGAAGGGCTGCGGGCTCCTGTTTGCTGAGGGGGACGAGGGAGAACGAGGCGCCGCTCCCCACGTCAGGGCATTTGTCTAGGGGCAAATACGCAGGCAGGGCGGCCGTGGGGCCGGTGGGGACACGCGGCTGCTTCCCCCCTTCCGCCCGTCCCCTCTAGCGCCCGGGCGGGAGGTGCCATCTCTGCTCCCCCACAGGCAGGCGGAGGCCCAGGCTGGCCCGGCCGGGCCGCAGGACCGTGACGATTAACGGAGCAGGAGCCCCAGGAGCCGGCGGGAGGCGAGCGGCCCTCGGCGGGACGGGGAGCGGGAAGGGCCACCCCGATCCCGGAGCCACCTCAGGGTGACGGGCGGCCCCTTTGGCACCCGGGGGGGCTGCCGGAGGGCAGAGGGAATGAACCAGCACTGTGCAAAGCGGGGCGGACGGGGACGAGGGGCCGGTGGCCCTGGGACAGCAGGGATGGATGGAGCCACAGGGAGGGCGGCCGGGGCTGCACACGGAGCCGCACACGGAGCCCGTGTCCGGAGCCACGCACGGAGCCCGTGTCCGGCACTGCCGCCGCCTCCTCGTTCATCCCCTGCCCCAGGAACCCAGCAGCGCCGCTAGCAGGAAAGCCAGAGCAGCACCACAGCAGCTGTTAGATATAATATTTATTATTATATACAAACACATTTTGTACATTAATTAAATAGAATGAACTCTACTCCTCATTCAGCAAATGATTTGGTTCATTTCCCCCCCTTCTCCCTCCCCACCCACTCCTCTTAAAAGCCTACGAGTATTCCTTGCTCTGCTGGGCTTGGGCCGGGCTGCGCGGCCCCTTCCCGGGAATGCCGGCTGCAGGCTCCTTCCCGGGAATGCCGGCGGGACGTGGGGGCTCTGCCGGCCGCCCCAGGACAACGGCCAGGGCTCCCAAAAGCAGAACAGCACAAGGGGTCCTGGGCAGGAAACACGAGGGTAAGGAGGGGGGCAGTTCTGCACCCTTTGGTACTGACAAGGACCCCCGATCCCGACGGGAGCCGCAGGCACCGGCCCCCCTCCCCAGGGAGAGGCCTCTGGATGGGCGGCTGCTGCTGTGGGGAAAGAGGCTGAAAGCAGGGGACTCCTCTGCAAAATGCAGGTCGAGGGGCCCAAGCCCCCTCCTCTGCCCTTGTCCGCCTTGTACTTCAAGCCCTTCGCCTCCTCTGCCAGGAAAGAGGGAAAATCGCTTGGAGTTTCTTGGTTTCAGCGTTTTGGCTCTTGGCGCCGCCGCACTGCAGCCCCTGCAGCCCCAGGCCCAGCCGAGAATCCTCAGGGATGGGGCTGCCCTTGGGATGCAGACATGTCCCCGTGCAGGGACAAGGCACTGAAAAGCAAACTAATCGCTCTGGGTGCAGAGACAGAGCTGCTGCTTTCCTCCTCCTCCTCCTCCCACATAACACAGCTCCTGCGGCTGCTGCCCGCCCCGTGCACCCAGGAGCAGCCACCCCCAGCCGCACAAGGGCCCCCGCTGCTCCAGGGCTGCGCAAACCCATGAACCAACGAGGCCGATGGGCAGAGACGTGCTTGAGCTGCCCCTCTGCTGTGGCAACTGCCCCGCTTTGCTTTGCTGCGAGTGGATCCAGCCCGGGAGGAAGGCTCTAGGCTTCTCCCACACTGGAACACAAGGAAAATCCACTAGTTTTCCACGGCTGTGGCCGGGATGCCTGGGAAGAGAACCCAGTGCCCACAGCAGCCTCTTCCTCACACAGGGCCCTGTGTCACCGTGTGCCCGCTCTGCCAGGACGGGGCTGCACCGCAGCACGAGGACGGCACCGCGGCACAGGGATGCTGCAGCCAGCGGGGCCGGCACCGCGGCACGGGGCCGCTGGGGACAGCAGGGCTGCACCGCGGCACGGGGCCGCTGCCCCGGCGGGGATGAGGCTGCACCGCGGCACGGGGCCGCTGCTCCGGCGGGGATGAGGCTGCACCGCGGCACGGGGCCGCTGCCCCGGCGGGGATGAGGCTGCACCGCGGCACGGGGCCGCTGGGGACGGCAGGGCTGCACCGCGGCACGGGGCCGCTGCCCCGGCGGGGATGAGGCTGCACCGCGGCACGGGGCCGCTGCTCCGGCGGGGATGAGGCTGCACCGCGGCACGGGGCCGCTGCCCCGGCGGGGATGAGGCTGCACCGCGGCACGGGGCCGCTGGGGACGGCAGGGCTGCACCGCGGCACGGGGCCGCTGCCCCGGCGGGGATGAGGCTGCACCGCGGCACGGGGCCGCTGGGGCCGGCAGCCGCCCGCGCCAGCCCGGCCCGTCACACACACACACGCTGGCTCTGCCCAGGGCAATTTACTGCAGCACCTTTCCTCTGTCCCAGCTACTCTGCCGCCACTAAGAGGAATTCAGGGGTTAAGGATGATGGTGAGGTGAGAAATCATAACAAACAAAATCCAAACGCCTTCCTGGCAGTCCGGAGGTGCGGAGGAGAGGGACTCAAGAGAGGCTCCGCGCGTCCAGCTCCGAGCAGGGCTGGGAGCTTGCTGCGCTCCCCGTGGGTGCTGGGCACGGGCTGCGGTCGCCCCGCTCCCGTCGGGCAGGAGCGGCGTGCTGGTCCAGGGCAGCCTCGTGCACGGGGGCTGCCGGGGGCTCCGCCGCGCTGCTCGGGGCTGCACAGTTCTTGTCCCCAGGCTTCGCTTGGCTGGGCGGCCCTTCCGCAGCCTCAGTCTGCTCCGCAAGAGAAGGGCTGGGGACAGTGGCCCCTTCCTGCTGCACTGGGACAAGGGGCGTAGCTGGAGTCTCCTCAGGGACAGGGGGGACATCTGCTGCAGCCAGCACAGAAGTTGAAGTGACTTCAATGGTGATGGAGCCCACAGCAGTCTCGGGGTGGTCGCTGCTGACCCTGATGCGGGCTACGAGGCCGGAGGCAGCGGCAGCATCCTGGGGGTGCCCGTTGGCCAGGGCTTCGTGCACCGCGGTGGGCTCCAGGAGGGAGGAGCTCAGGTCGGACAGAAACGAGGCCTCCGTGACGATGGCAGCGGTCTCGGCCACCCAGTTGAGGTCGCTGCCCACGGAGGCGGCCGTGGCGGCCGCGATGACGCTGGAGGCGTCGCCGGGCGCCAGCGCCGCGGGGCTGTCGCTGTCCCCGGCGGGCCCGGCGGGCAGGCGGCCCCGGCGGCCGCCCGCCTCCACCGCCGCCGTGGTGTTGTTGTTGAGGTTGTCTTGCAGCGTGGTCTGCGTGCCCTGGCCCACCTGCTGGTTCTGCAGCAGCATCTCCTGGATCCTGATCTGCTGCAGAATTGCTGGCAGCTCGTAGTGGTGGAAGAAGTAGATCATCGAATGCTGGAGAAGGCAGAGGGAAAGGAGTCAAGCACGGGGCCCAGGCTGCAAGAAGCGCCCTGCCTCTGTCCTGTTGTCACCACTGGAGTGTCACCACAGGACAAACAGCAGCTACTCACCTGGATGAAGAGCCACGAGGTGACCAGAGCCAGGCTGCTGTACTGCCCATTGAACCGGTAGTGGTAAGCGTAGAAGGCAAAGTGATACAGGTAGAAAAACCTGCAGAGAAAAGCCACAAAGCTCAGAATGCAGCAATGCAGGGGGCAAACACGAGCTTCCTTCCACTCATCCCTTTATTCAGACTAGTGACACCGCCCATGGTGGTGCACAGGTTCTCAACAAAGCCAAACAGAGGGCAGGAGTGATTCCAGAGCACCACACACGACATCAGAGTGGAACCAATTGCGTTTTTGAACGCAGTGACACGTGCGGCAGCTCCCAAGGACACACAAGAGCAGCAGTCCTCCCCCTGGGGAGGGCTGGAAAGGCTCTAAAGAAATCTCCCACTGGAGAAGAAAGTTGGCAGCTCTTACCTGAGCCAGTGTCTCTTACTGGTATTGGTGTGGCAACAGATAGCATCGTATTGGTCAGCCAACCACACAATAAGGATGATGTAAAAAGCAGTGGTGGTGTCATTGAAGAACTCCGACATGATGGCCTCCATACCTACAGGACAGAGGGGTGTCTGTCATGAGCTCTCTGCATCAGCTCCAGGGAAGAGCTTCCCCACAGGGGCATCTGGACAAGTTCTCTCTCATTTCTAGAACTGCAACTATACAGCTAAGGCATATTTTTGCTTAAAATAGCACACAATGTCAAACAAGTTTCATTGCTCACTGCCATCACTTCATGGACCAGAGGATCTGCTGTCTCTAGACAACAGAGATCTGGGTTTTGTTTGTCTTTAATTAAAATTGTGCTAATGCAACGTGGTCACAGGGAGCATGAATCTGAAATGAGCTCAAGTGAAAGACAAAGACTCAGTTTATGTGATTTCCAAACTAATTTTCCAGCAGAATTTTCCAGATACCCTTGGAAAGACAATGCAGGTTATTGTCTGCCATCGAATTCCAGAACCTTCCACCTTATAAGAAGCAGACACAGTAACGACCTGCTCTATTCAGGGCAGAAAAAGGAATTTGGCTTTCTAAGACCCCAAAGTGACTTGGCTGCCCATCTCCTCTATTTAAGAGCTAATGTTCTTACCTACTAAAGCCAGGATGACGGTGAGCAGGGGCGCTGCAGGGAATGCAATGGTCATGTTCATTTCCAGCATCTGCAACAGATCGACTGCAAGAAGGAAACACAGTGTGACAAGAGGTGGATGTGGGACCAGGGAACCCGCCACCTCACGTCACCCGTTTGGAGCCCTGTGTCACGCCACGAGCACCCCATCTAGCCCATCACCCAGGCACTGGCAGGAGCCACAACTGCTCCTGCAAGCACAGGGCGGACACGTTTCCTGTGCAGGAACCCTTCTGAACAACAGCAGTCAAGAGAACACACAAGCTACGCTGCACTAGAGCAGGCCTGTGTCCAACACACCCCGGACGCCCCAGCAAACCCTTACCAATGAAGACAAAGATCTGGTGGTGCGAGTAACGCAGCAGCATTGAAACGGACAGGGTCTGCAAAAACAGGAGCCAGTGTGAGAGCAGGTCCAGGGATTCGCGTCCAAAACTGCACTAGGGCAGAGACAAGCTCGGACGCACAGCAGCGCCCGGCGCGCGGGCACAGCTCGCATTCCTAAGCCTGAGCTATGCAGAAGAACTTCCCACAGAGTAATTAAGGCTTCACAAACAGCAATTAATCTTCACGCTACTGCAGTGAAATAGACAGTACGTAATTGGGCTGTAAAGAGATTTGTGCTGAATAATCCAGCAGTGGCCAAAGAGCAGCCTAAGAGCTGGAACAAGGGTTTCTAGTCCTAGCTCTGTCACCTTGTGCTCATCTCCATTTCTCCTCTTCTGTGCTACAACATTACTGCACAAGCAGCTGCAGAGTGCAAGGTCAGACACAGAGACAGTCCTTTAAGGCTACGAATACAGGCTCAGTCATTATTGAGACCTCTTGTCCTACGCTTATCTGTAATCATCTGGTCAGACAAGTAACCACAGGAGATTCAGTTCTAACCCACCCAACCCTGGCACATTAGCTAAACCTGTTAAAAATGTGGGCAAGCTTTGGCACCCCATCCCTTGGCAGCCTGAGTACTTAGCTATCCTAAGACTCTAGCCTGAATCACCCTTTGACTGTAAACAATTATTTCATTCATTTCAGCTCCTCTGCTTGTTTTATTTTTAGGATTTTAGCATCTGCAGACAAATCTTCAAAGTGCGACTGTGCATCCCGCATAAGGCCACTTTTAAAAGCAGATGTGTTCTCTCACGTGGGCACAGGACTGCTCTGTTGTACAAGCACCCAGCCTTGCCGTGAAGCCGAGCAGCACCAGGCTCAGAACTGCGCGACACGCAGCTCCTCCCCACTTACAAATATGACCATGATGACAAAGGCTGCAAGGTAGGATGTCCTGGCCATCCACATGCTGACAAAGCGATAGTGTTCCCCAGATACCACATTACGAAGGAAACCTGGAAAAAACAAAGTCCAATGCCATTAGCCTACAAACAAAGATCAAACTTCAAGTGTAGTTAAAAATAAATAAATAAATAAAACCCCACAAAACCAAGGTGTTTACAGAGGGAAATGCATGGCATCACCTCCTCACGGCTGCCTTCTCTTATCGTTATGCAGTACAATGAGGCAGGAGAAAATCATGTTTGCAGATACTCCTGCTCGTTTTACTTCGTCCTTGACCATAACATCTCTACATAACACAGTGAACTGTTCCCTGCATTAATCAGTAGAAGATGATATTCAGGCATCCATGAAAAACATCACCCCCTGCACAGCTGCGGAAAACGATTCCTCCAAGTCCTACCTTTGTTTTCTTCATTTTCAGCCAAAGCTTTGACACTAGACATCAGGATGTCATCATAACCCAGGAACTCATCCAGCAACAGGCGGCTGAATCTGTCCCCAAAGCACTGGTCCCTAGTGGGATCTAGGTAGAAAACAGAAAACATTCAGCCTGTTCACGTCGTAAGCCACAGAAAAGGAAAGGCAAGTGCCCTGGCTTCTCAGCTCTGAAAAGGAGCCGTGTGCCAGCAGATGTGTGCGTGCACTTGGGCCTCGGCCAATATAACTAAATTGGGCAGGACTGGGAGGGAAAATGTCACACCCTGACAAATATAGCCAGGCTGACAAAATGCCAGCGTCAATCGGCCCCCTGCTCTTACACCAGGGCGGTTACAACCTCTCCTCACACAAACACAAAAGGAATTTGACTCCGATGACTTGCATGATCCTCCCAGCAATTGTGGGCTCATCCCAACTAAAGGCCCGGAGAAATGAATTGTGGTAAAATCTGGGAGGGACAGGCTGATATTTCAGGTCCCAGGTGACCTCCCCATGCCACTGCTGGGGCCTATGAGTCCTCATGTGCCCTCCTGCAGGAGGGGACGTGCAAACTCCTCCCAGGGCTCTGGCACTGAGTGCAGGAGGCTGCTCAGTTCCAGCTCAGGACGCTGGTGCAGCGTCAAAAATGTGAGCAAAAAATATCTAGCTTGCAAAAATACTCCAAACCTATATTAAACATAAAGCATAAATAAGGGTGATTTTTTAATAGAGCACTAGGATTCTTATGAAGGAATTTGCCTGGCTGGATTTGAAAGCCCAAATCAGTAAATAGACATTTAATAAGGAAACTACTCATTACCTACATGAGGTCACTGCTTAATAATGCAGCCCAATTGTGCTTGAGTTTTACTGGGATAATACAATTGAGTTCAACTACTGCACTAATGACTCATTACAGATCAATTAAGGTTGCAGGCACAAAAAGGCCTGAGAGAGTATTTCTGAGTAGCCCAGGTTTTCCAAGGGGAACACCAGGAGAGGAGGCTGGAGGACAGAGGGCCAGGAGGACGTGGGGACAACGCCAAGCAGGTCTGCTTGGCAGCCCTGCTGACACCCGCGGCGAGAGCTGGTGGCACCAAGGTGGCTCTGCGGGACACGCGCCCAGCAGGGCGGGCTGGCCTCACTCACCCAAAGTCACCACCATGACCGGGATGCTGAGCCGCTGGCGGGTGCTCTGGGAGAGGCGCAGAAAGCCGTACTCCAAGGAGTACTCCACGATGTACTCCTCCTGCGGCCACACTGCAAGAGAGGGCCGCGCCACAGTCAGCACCGCCTTGGCCAGGGCGGCTGCAGACACTGGTCATTGCCACCTGGGCATTCAGTAAATTGAAGCACTGCCCATTACGGTATACAGCATTGTACAGGGTGATTCTCACAGAACTTTGGTAACTATTAATGAAGGTTTTGCACCAGAAACATTTATACGCTCTCCAGTCCTAAGTGACTTAATGATCTGAAGTTCAGGACTAATGAGTTCTGGACCAGCATCAAGTCAAACACTTGCAAAAACAAAGGAACAGTGCCATTATAACATCCAGTCTCACAACTGTCCTTAGCAAGAACATCCCGGATTTCTGAAGAGCAAATAACTACACTTTTTTTCCAGGGAGAGAAGCATGCATGAAAACACCAAAATTCAATAGGAATCTAGCTGCCAAGTCTCTATTTTAGTATATGTGACTTTTAACAGATCTCCCCACTCCCAAACCACTAGACAGAACTTTTCTAATACTGGAAATGCATTTTAAACAATACACAGTCATTTAAGCTCCTTCTAGAGCTTACGAAACATTAGCAGCTTAAGTGATGCTGCAATAAGGAGAGGGATCAAGCTGGATAACAATTTGAATGATGCAGAACAGCAATGCTGTATCTCGCAATCTACTAAAACTTGCTCAGTGGCTTTCAGAATAGTTAGTTGTTCCAGGCACTGCTGTCATTTAGGAGACCCAAAATACAGCCCAAGTCTTCTCAATTGGGAATGTGTGCTGAAAGTTACATCTCTGCAGATCTCAACAGGGCAAAAAGGAAGGTTCAAATTCATCAAAAGCATCTGGCACTGCAGAAACATGACAGCAGACCAAGGGGCTTCAGCCCATTTTATGCTGCTGATGATCCCCCACTCCCGGGCTCCCTTCCAGCCCAAGGAAAGGGATTCCTATAGATCTACTGTTAGTAGTGGTAAGACTAAGCACAAGTGAAAACCCCAGGGATAGTTGGAAGGCACTTGAGGTTATTATGCATGGGCCCAGAGAAGCCAGGAGGAGTGAGATGTGCAGGGAAGATGCTGAGGTGCAAGGGAAGGAGGGAACATGGATAGTTGCGAGGAAGTTGTCTTTACCTGCTCTCGTTAGCATCTCAAATTCGGACACAGTCTCCCTCAGAGGCTGCATACCTTTAGTGGTTGCTTCACTAAATGAGAACTCCTGGCTTTCGTTGTGGGTCAGTGCCTCGGTGCTGCTCATCCGGGATGGTTTGAGGAACACCTTGGGCTCAATATCCAGCTCAAACTGTGGGAAAACCATAATGGTGCAAATCACTTTAGCAGTCATTCCAGCTCAAGTCCTCTGTGCTTTTCTCTACCCTCAGATAAGAGGCCACTTTCTCAGGCTTTAATTTCTATCTCAAAACAAGAGAGGCTGATGTAGAGACAGAAAACTTCAAGGAACACATCGTGCCTCAAAGCAACGGGGGGATCAGGGATGGACCGTGGCAGACCCTGGCGGTTTAGAACAGTTTCCCTGTTCAGGAAGGTGGGAGTTGCAGAGCAGAAAAGCTGCTGGGTCACAAACCAAACAGGCTGCCAGCCCATCTGTCCTCACAGCCCCAAACCTGGGATGATTGTGCTAATGATCATCCAAATTTCAGCCCAAACTGCACCCGGTTTCCCATCTTCTTCCATGGACCCATGGAAAGTGTCCTTACCTTGATAGAGCTGTTTTCAAACATATCCACAGTCATTTCTTCCTCTTCCTCCTCCTCTTCCTCAGCTGTGGACTCAACCACCATTCCTGGAAACTTCTCCACATCACAGAACTGCAGGAAGATGGGGGCTCGGCTCGAGTTGCGCTGAATTTCCACCCTCAGGATGCCGTCGCGGGGCCACTTATCCCGCACGTGCTCCAAGCAGTTAATGGGCGAGCGGGAGAAGGCGATGTGAATGTAAGCCAGGATGAAGAGCACAAAGAGAGCCTGCACACAACGAGAAACAAGGCAGAACGCGTCAGTGCAATGAAACCCAACCACTTTACAAATTCCCCGGTTTTATCCAGTCATCTCTTGCTCTCCCGTAAAGACACTGCATTAATTTGACCAATGTACATGCAAGTGGACCAGAGCTTTTATGCCTTCTAACCTTGGTGGTGTCTGTACTAAACATTAAAGCAACACACTGGAATCAGGTAATCTCTTCAGCTTTACAGGCCAAGTGATAGAATGTTCCCCTTGTCAGCCCTTGTGATGCCTCTTTAACTGGCTGAAAACTAGTCGTCTTCAGGTAAACACCAAAAAAAGATCCGGAGCTTCTCCAAGGTGCCGGTGACCAAAACCTCTCCATTAGCCTTGGGTTCTTCTCCATTAGCCCCGTGCCTTGGGTTTTATGTTGGCTGCTGCCGCCCATAAAGCGGCTGCGCGTCGCCAGTGTTAACACGCACACTGCCCACAATCAGAGGTGCCAACTGCTACAAAGCCCCACGCAAAACACCACGGAATTGCCCTGTGTACCCATGCAAAGCGTTGCTTTCCTTGATCCAGCAGCATTTCTCATGGAAATCAATAAGCGGTATGGAGCAAGGGAAAAAGGAGGCCTTAATCTTCTCCCGGCCGGGAAGCAAAGCAGCAGGTTCTTCTGGTGAAACACTTGCTCTGGCAAGGGCAGCCGGCGCCAAGAGCAGCGGCGACACCAAAGCACCGAGCAGCCCGTGGGCCGAGCTGCGCACGTCTGCTCCGTCAGGCAACGGGTCACCAAGAGCAACTTCTGTGCTCGAGCCTGAGCTCAACTGTGTTTCGTTTACTGACAAAAACGGATCTGCTTTTCCCCTCTGCTCCAAGGGGGATGCTCAGAGATGCTGGCTTTAGATCCCAGGTGAAAACTGGCGAGTAACTTCTTGATGACCTCAAGCTTGCTCAGCAGAATGACAGCAAACGAAGAGATGACACATACAGAAACCGCCCCAGAAATAGCCTAGAAACAGAGGATGAGGCTTAACACCACAAAGCCTGTGTGTTTAGTCTGTGATGGACTAAAACTTCACCCACATCACAATGACAAGACCCAGGAAGAGCATTTCTAGCAAAAACGCTTCCTCCGAAAGGGTCCGAAACTTCTTGTGTTTCAGGCCCTAATGGGTTTTCTTTAAAAGCAGATAAATCCCCCTGTTTCCTTGGTGCAAGACACCGAGAGCTCAGATCGTGCTGCTTTAATTCGGTCAGGCTTGCGGTTGCCGGGGTGGAAAGAGGCGGTTCTCCGCACGTTTCCCGTGAACGCTTTCATCTCCTCCGGTCTGCTTTGATCAAAACTCACAACAGAGCGAGCCGAAACGAGCCTGGCGAGGGCCACGCTTCCCACCTGGCAGACGGCGCTCGGCGGCTCCCGCTCCCAGCCTGCATCTCCTCACACAGCACCGGGCTGGGGGTGCAGAGAGGGCTGCTAAAAACCTGAGTGTTTCTCAGACAAAAACAGAGCATTGCAAAAGTCCCCTGTTATGTCATGTTTATTATGTCACCCTAACAAGGCTCTCGCTTTGTGTTTGGTACAGAAGTCCTACACGTGTGGCATGAGGTAAGGCCCAGGGACGCTGGCTTGTTCTAAAGGGCCTGGATTTTAGAGGCTTGAGGATTTTAGAACGACGGAAAGTCGCTGCTGTCACTTAGCAGTCCCCAGGGGTGCAGCACCATCCACACGTAGCCAAGGTTCTTGACTACTAGGAAGAAGCTGCGTTAACGTGTACGGGCATCAGTTACCTGCAGAGAGCAGGCTCTGGCAGTGTCAAACACCGTGACCGGGCCGCACTCCGCAGCCCAAACAGCGACCGCTCAAGTGCAACCAGGAGCCTTTCACACCCCCGTGCTGCTTTTGAGCAACTCGAGACCAACTGAGGCAGCTGGATGAGCGATTTGCAAGCTCTGTTTATGGACAGATCTCAGAGAAGAGCTCTGGGGTCCTGCGGACCCACAGAGATCACTGCAACTCTTCCCATGCCCCTCACCAAAGAGGCTCGCACGTCGGCACAGCGCACAGCTGGGTGTGGATGGTCCAAAACCAGCTCCTGCTCCTAGCAGAGCTCAACTTCCATGGGGGGCTGTGTGTGACAGCGAGCAAACCCGCACCCCGGCGCCCGACCGCGGGCTGGCGAAGCGGCCGCGGGGCGCTCGGCCCCTCACCTTGAGCAGCACGAAGAACTCGAAGACGCGGCGGAAGGAGGGCGGGAAGAGGCGTGCGTAGGTCACTGCCATCTTGAAGAAGAGGGCATGGAAGAGGCGGTCGCGCACGTTGATGAGCGGGTTCTGGTTGAGGTTGGGGTTGCGGGCGCCGCGGTTGTTGGCGCCGCCGCCGCCCGTGTTGTTGCCCGCGGGGTGGTGGTTGGCGTTGGGCTGGTTCTCCGACATCGTGGCCGCGCGGCGCGGGCCCGCAGCCAGGCGGGACGGCTCGGCGCGGCCCCGCTCACCCGCGGG